ATCTCGAGCATTAGGCCTATTTAATGGCTCTAACTTTTAGGGTTGTGTGCATTCATCAGCCTCCACTCTCAATGTAGTTCGTATTGATCGAGTATATGAAATGAAATCAGAGTTTGCATTTGAATCAAGAACATACGAGTAAATATAATCTGGATGGCTCGAATAAACTATTGAAAGATACAAGAGAGTTTCTTAGAGTAAGAATAGCGAAGGATCAAAAGTTACTCTAACTCTAGCACCTATCCCTATTTATAGGAATGATAGAAGTTTACAAAAAATACATAAGGGCTAAAATAGTTAAGCTTCGACATACAAATGTGCCCTTATGAAATACATAAAACTAGCATGTATTACAGACTTCGACACTAAGACAAACTCATGACACTTCGACACCTCACAACACCATTCAACCTCAACATTCTCTTCCTTTGTGAGCGGTGTCGAGTCCTAGGTCATTAGCATCTTCGTTACATGATGAAGAACTATTCTAACCTCCATGTACCAACCACTTGGTCTGTGAACTTCAGCTTTATCACCTTCAGTATTCTTCTTGCAATTATTGATATGAACAAGTTGATTCATATACAGAGAATTCGTGTATCTTTCCACATCTTCAACTCTGAATAAAAATGTTGTCATATTGTTGTTTTTATTCTTTCCAACAAAAATTATTCCAAAAGGTTTAACAAAAATTTCTCCCTCATCAAAATTCTTCAAGCTTCCTACACCTTTCAACAAAGATTGTGGTATAGTAATTGGTTTTCCAATCGCCAAAGCCAACTCCACATTTGTTAAGGCGAGACAATCATAATAATTGTTAATGAAATTATTAATATGTGCAAACCCAAGCAAGAAATCTTCTTTGTTTGTCACCTGAAGTTTCGAAGCGTCAACCTCACTTAGAATTTTTGCCACACAGATGAGATCATTAAGATTCATCAAAGGAAAATCAGCTACAAAGAAATCATTGGCCACATTATTAGCACAAACTATGTGAAAACGAAAGTTCTGCAATATCCCTTTGAATAACTGATCCTTGGTTATACCCAACACTTTGACAATCTTTACTAGTGACCAAATCTCTTATTCTTTCTTTCCAAGTACTGCATGAAATCTCATTTTCAACTTCTTGAATTCTTCTTTGTCATCAAATTTGTCTATCAATTGATACTGAGCTGATATGAACATCATATGGTTGACAGGGAAATCCAGTTGGTTGAAGTCTGAATTTTCTATCTCATAGCAATTGTCAATGAAAATCTTGATATGTGCAAACCCAAGCAAGAAATCTTCTTTGCTTGTCACCTGAAGTTTCGAAGCATCAACCCCACTTAGAATTTTTGCCAAACAGATGAGATCATTAAGATTCATTAAATGAAAACCAGCTACAAAGAAATCATGGGCCACATTATTAGCATGAATTATGTGAAAGCGAAAGTTCTGCAATAGCCCTTCGAATAACTGATCCTTGGTTATACCCAACACTTTGACAATCTTTACTAATGACCAAATATCTTCTTCTTTCTTTCCAAGTATTGCATGAAATCTCATTTTCAACTTCTTGAACTCTTCTTTGTCATCAAATTTGTCTATAAATTGATACTCAACTGATATGAATATCATATGGTTAATAGGGAAATCCAGTTGGTTGAACTATGAATTTTCTATCTCATAGCTTTTCTTTAGGACTTTGAGATAATCATGAATGTTACCAAGAGAAACAATCTGTTCGATAGTTTTGTAACAATATGGTTTCGTTGGGTCACCCTTCTCAAGACCATGTGGGTCTCCTTGCCTTTGTCTTAGAATGATTTGAATTTTTCTTTATCTTTCCATTTTCTTTTCTAAGGCAATCTTCTTGTCTTCTTCAGTTGGATCAGTTTTGGATACCCTTCCCCTTTCCTTCGATTTCTTCCTTAGATGGAGGTAGCTTCGAACTTGAACCCCCAGCAGAAGAACCAATAACAACACCTTTGTTAAAAGGTTTCAAAGTCACCGTGGTTGAAGTAGTAGTCATTGATGTTGGAAGTGAAGTAGAAATCTATGTACTCATAACCCTCCCTACAACCTTTCTTTGAGAAGGATCTTTCGAAGAACCAGTTTCAACACCTTTTGAAACACCAGATCCAACACCCTTTTCTCCCCATTGCACCCATGTGTGAACCGGTAGGGCATTAGTTGGCATCAAATCAACCAATTTCAAAAGTGGAGCCAAATCAGTCTTGAGAGAAGACTCCAATGACAAAAACATCTTAGAAAATGATTCTTGAGAAATCGAAGACTGTGAAGAAGAACCAAGCTTTGAAATTAACTCTTTCAAACTGCCCACTAACTCTTCAAATTTGGAAAATCTTTTATAATCAAACTCCAACTTTGTATCAATCTTGATGAGAAGAGAATTGTGAAATTCAACAACTTTCGTAACACCAGTAGCAACAATATCAACTTTCGTGTTAAGAGCTGAGTAATTGTGATCAAGATTGACAACCTCCTTCGCCATTTCAGAACGAAGTTCTTCAATTTTCAAATTCACATCCTCATGTACTTTGTTTAATAGCCTCAACAAGTAGAATATGTATTTCTTTTACAGCTTCCCTTAAATCCTTTACCTTATTAACAAAGAATCAAATTGCTGCTTCAACCGTTTTTCAGTTTTCATATCAACTTGTTCCATCAAAGCTTTCAAACGAAGTTCTTGAGCTTTGAGCATGACATCTACTTCAATCCCATATACACTATGTCAATTTCCAGGATCAGCTTGAAGCTGTAACAAAGAATTAAGCTTTCGATTGAGGATATTGAACTGCTTACCAAACATAAGCATGTGATTGGGAATGTTCTCCTCATTGGGATCAAATTATATGTCAAAAAAGTGTTAGAACAAAGTTCTTTCAGGATCGTATGATTCTAAGCAAAATATTAATAAGAACGTAAATAAGAACACAAGTATTGCGATGAAGATGTCGAATGATTAATGCAAAATACCCCAGAAGAGCTCGATTAAGAACTTCAATCTGTAGAGGTAAAACTAGGGTTACAATAATCAACGTGAATGACTAATCTGTTATATACGCATACATGCATGCATATATTTATAATAAAACCCTAACAACTTATCTAGATAAAGGAAACTATTCTAGATAACTACGGATGGATAAGCCCAATCCGTTTACAAAACAAATAATCCAAGACGCAACACTTAAAATATTCAACAATCTCCCCCTTTGCATCTTTGGAGCAGAATCTCTATTCTCTTTTCACACCAGTGGTCTTCTTCAACGTTTCAAATATCCTTGGTATAATGGCCAGAACATGTTGTCTAAATGTTATATACCACCGAAGCATATCTGTAAAATTTTTCTTATCTGATGCTGAGTTCTGCTTGCATCGATGAATGATGTTGATAATATGCTCCAAACAATCTGTTGAAAACAGATGCTTATCTACCAATGCAAACAAAAACTTAAGCCTGTCACCCTTAGTGAACATGACAGTCAAGTTAGTTGAATCAATCTGCCCCAACTTCATTTTATTTACATCATCGGGCTTAGATGTTGGCTTGACTGTCGGCTTCTTATTCATCACTCTTGCTATCTCCTGATCCATTGTGGCAAGCTCATGGATATAGGAGGCCAACATCCTTTTAAGATGTTTCAAAATCGGCTCATACTCTCGTTGATTTGAGAGCAAAATGTTGTATAGCAAGATCCAATCATGAGGATTAAGATTGGGAAGATCTGCCATAGATATGAAATATTCCGTGTTTGCAGTACCACGGTTAATCTTGAAATGAACATTCATAAATCTCCCAGCAAGTGATGAGTTCAGTACCTTGACTCTTGTAATCTTCTGTGCACTCCAAGTCAAGTACTGCGGTTGACCGTTCTTCAAGTAAAAATCAACTAACTCCCTGTTAACCTTCAAGTTTGGAAAAGGAAACTCAGCAGTGACCTCAAAGCAATGATAAGTGAATGCTCTTTTGGTGATTGGCATGTCGAACTGCGAGTCCTTTGAGTTTTCACATTCAAAAGAAGCAATCGGTTCCAACCAATACATGGAAGGAAACTCAATCGCTTGAGTGATAAGAGTATCTCTGTCCCACTCGGGAAACAGAGTCTTCTTGCACTGTAAAATATCCTCTGCCTCTTTAGTCTTTTTCTCCTTCTCTTCAGCCTCTCTCGCCACCTTCATAGTCTCATCAAGCTCTCTGTCTCTTTTCTTTCGCTTGAGAACTTCGACAATCATCTCTTTAGGATCAGAGTCACTGTCGTCTATAATTTGCTTTCCAGAAACCGAAGCTACATTAACCTTCGGTTCTGTCTTGACTTTACTCTCCTCTCCCCCTTGTGTCAGAAGAAAGACTTTCTCTGAGACACCCTTCATTTCACTGAGTAGAGAAATGGCAGGAAGAAGTTTAGTTTGGAGATGCTTCCGAATAGTTAAAGTCAGAATCAGATCATGGGCTTCGAGAAGAGCAGTCAGCATATTCTTCACATCACCAGCACAACTTTGAAAAACAGCCCTTTGAGTTTTGAGCAGAGAGATCTCCTTTTCATTCTGGGCTAGTTGAACTTTCTGTAGATCAATGGTTGCCTGGTGTTTTATCAAGTCTTCCTTCAAGGTGCTTTCTGCATTTAAAGTAGCAAAACGAGAATCCAAGGAATGGATAAAAGATGTTGTAACGCCCGTAGATCCGGGCTAGTCAATTTAGAGACGATAAGCATCAAAAATGACTTTTTGATGGAAGATTATTTAGAAGGATTAATCTTAACCAAGTTTTAGTATATGTCACAAGGTTTCCTTGCATATAAAGAACGCCAAAATCCGAGTTATAACGAAGAAGTTATGACCTATCGAAGTTTCGCGACAGAACCGACACGACCCAACGCGACCCATCGCGACATAAATAGTGAACTTAAGGTAGATAGATATCTATCCTTAGTGATCTAAACAAGAGTTGAAGATTCATTCGATAGTAGTCCAACGATAAAAAGACATATGAAAACGGAGTTCAGATGAAGGAGTTATGAATTTCGAACGGAGTTTTCCTGTCCCGGCCTACTATAGATATATATATATATATATATATATATATATATATATATATATATATATAAGTAATATACTTATAATATATTAAAAATAAAGTCAAAATTAGCCAATGGAGTCTAAACGAGAGTTGTAGAGCATAATCTCACATTCGCGGCGATATAAAGAACGTCGAAAACGGAGTTCGTATGCAAAAGTTATGAATTTCTGAAGTTCGGGGCGCGAAACCCCAAAACTGTCAGAGACCACGACGTGGCAAGCAGTGCCACGACGTGGCAAGCGTCCTGACACCTCCGTGAGGCTCCCAGATGCAACATGGGATGATGCATGTAGTGACGACCAAGCCCACGACGTGGAAAAAGGTTGCCACGACGTGGCAAGGGCCAAATTTGCCCTATAAATAGATTTGAAGGGTCAGCCGTTTAGGGTTGCTATTTTCTCTCTTCTCTCTCCCGTTTTGTGACAACCGTCAAATTTCGATCAATTCAAAGTCAACTAAAGTCAGCAAGTCAAACCGTTTGACTCAATTTGCCCATGAGTACTAAAATTCACACTATGAAACTTCTACATAACTTCTATTCTAATGAGAAATCATAAAGCAAAAAGTGCGAACATCTAGATCTCCTTAACCTAAAACGGTAGTACGTGGCGAGCCAAACCGATAAAACAATGTTGCATACTCATCGGGAGTGTGTAAGATCCTTAAACAAGGCTTAACAGAGTTTACAAACCATGCATTGCGATGCCGGACACTCACAACTATCCCACATGGAACCTCTCTCAATCGTTTTCACTCTATCTCTCTCTATGTCAAACCTCTCCTAAATCTCTCCAAGTACGCGAAATCTCTCTCAAATATCTCCCTGTATTAGAAATCTCTCCGAGAATGTCAAATCTCTCCCAAATCCCTCTAAGTATGTGAAATCTCTCTCAAATATCTCTTTGTATGAGAAATCTCTCAAAGAATGTCAAATCTCTTCCAAATCTCTCCAAGTATGTGAAATCTCTCTCAAATATCTCTCTGTATGAGAAATCTCTCCAAGAATGTCAAATCTCTCCCAAATCTCTCCAAGTATGTGAAAACTCTCGTAAATATCTCTTTGTATGAGAAATCTCTCCAAGAATGTCAAATCTCTCCCAAATCTCTCCAAGTGTGAGAAATCTCTCCCAAATCTCTCTCAAAAGTTTCCCGTAACTTTTTTGGAATCATTCGGGTCATTCCGATCCTTAACCGAGTCAAAAACGGCTCAAAATGGGGCGAAAACGAGAAAAATAGGCTTTAGGAACCGAAACCAAGAAGAGAGGCTTCTTAGGCGAGGACCGAGCCTCTGTTGGCTATGGCACGCGAGGACCGAGCCTCTGTTGGATGTGGCACGCGAGGACCGAGCCTCTGTTGGCTAAGACACGCGAGGACCGAGCCTCTGTTGGCTAATGCACGCGAGGACCGAGCCTCGGTCTCTGTCGCTTCTCCACTTTCTGTCTCTACCCGCCTCTCGGTCTCTACTCCGCCTCTCTGTCTATTCTCTTCTCTCGGTCTCTGCTCCTTCTCTCCTCTCTGTCTCTTCGCGCCCCTCTGTTCTCTCCTCCCCCCTCTCGGTTCCTTCCCTCTCTCTTCTTCCCTCTCGGTTTCTGCCTCCCTCTCTCTCGGTTCAGCATCAGAAGACCGAACCTCGGCCAGAATTCGGAAATTTGTCACTTTTAGCCCATTTTTGATATTTTTAACATTTTAAGCACGTTTTTCGTGATTTTAAAGCGGGATTTTCTCCAGAAATTATATTTTAACATAATAAACTCTAAATATTCATAATTTAAACATATTTTGATGAAAATCATTATCTAAATAATAAAAAAAAAAAAAAAATCAAATGGGTGAATTATTAAAGGTGGAGTGTTGACTTTGCCTTATCCAATGTCACAAGCAACCACCCCACACCCACTCTTTGACTAACCAGACCTCCCCACCTTACCTAAGTCACTTCAATGTCCCTTACACTCAAATTACACTCATTCCCACGTTTTTAGAGTTGGAACAAACATCCTCTCTCCTCATTTCTCTCATTTGCTCTCATTTCACTAAGTATCAAACACCACTTTTCTCTCAAACTTTTCCCACTCCAATTTCGAGATTCAAGGCTGATTTTCAAGTGTTCTTCCACTCTTAGTAAGTATAATTCATCCTCCTTATGATTATTTCACTTCATTCTACTCAAATCATGAATATCTTACACAAACTCCATCATATTAGCGTTAGAGCTTCGAATCTTCAAGTGATTTTTCAAGTGTTCTTGGGTTGAACACTTCTCTTCTTCAACACTTATCTACTGAAATCACTCAAGGTGAGTTCATACCCCTACATTTTTATGTTTTCTCAAGTTTTCAGGGGGGGGAATACAAGTTAAAACACTAAGAACTTAACTAAAATTTTCTAACAGCCTTCATCAGAAAAGTTCA